GTGTGAAAGTTCTGGCGGGAAAATTGATAAATCGGGAACGAGAAAAGCTAGGAAGCTGAAACCTTAGGGTAATGTTCCCTGCCCGTGTGTGACAAAAAGATTTCAAATTCAGCTGCCCAGGACTGCCCGGGGCTTACGTACGGGCACGTAAAAATTATGGTGGGAAAATTCATAACTCGAGAATGAGAAAAGCTAGAAAGTTGAAACTTTAGGGGAATGTTTCTTACTCATATACGGCCAAAATCAGGTGTTTAGTTTAGAAGCGCTCGGGGCCTACATACGGGCATGTGGAAATTTTGTCGCGAAAATCACTAACCCAGGAACGAAAAAAGCTAGGAAGCTGAAATTTTATGGGAATGTTCTCTAATCACGCACGAGCAAGATAAGGTGTTCAGAAGTGCCGAACCCACGTACAAGCGCGTGGAAATTTTGGCGCGAAAATTTATTAACACGGGGGCGGGAAAAGTTAGAAAGCTGAAACTTTAAGGGAATGTCCCCTACTCATGTACGAGCAAAGTCAGATGTTTAGAAACACCGGGGACCAACGTACGGGCATGTGAAAATTATGGAGCAAAAATTACTAACCCAGGAACGGGAAAAGCTAGGAAGCTGAAACTTTAGGGTAATGTTCCTTACTCGTGTATGACCAAAAGATTTCAAACTCAGCTCCTTAAAACGTCCGGTGCTCACGTACGGACACGTGAAAATTTAGATGGGAAAGCTGAAGGCTTTAATTTTAGGGGAATGTCCCCTACTCATGTGCGACCAAAAGATTTTAAATTTAATTCTTCTGGTGCAGTCTTTGTTGCGGACCAGCAACTTTCCATTTGTCGGATCGCTGAAGTCGACATCTACAACTGACATACCACATAGCTGCACAATTAACTTCCCGAAATTCGAGCCAGTATGTCACAAGGTTAGCTACTGTGATTCGTTGCGATCTTGTTACGGCATGAAAAGCGCAAAAACACATAATCGCATTGGCCCGCCTGGTGCGTTCCAGCCTGGGTTTTCTTTCTGACTACTTCTCTCACGCTTTCTGCGGGACTTCCCGTTTCCTGATCAAATTTGGTCGTTTTTGTCTTGATTCTTAATTTTCTTCTAAGCGGACGAAAGTTGGTGCTCATCAACCACGATGGGAATTGACTGCTCTCTTCTGCTTTGACGATTCTATTGCCTTATCATACTTCATGATTATCCAATCAGAAGTTGTTATTTCGCGACTGAAACACTAGCACGCTACTTGCTTCCAGAATCGTGATTTTTTCTATTGCGCTGAAGTAGCAATTTTGCTAGTTCGACAATGAAGCAAGCTGCACGATATCATTCGTTCAGTCAATCTGATATTTTGATTAAACGAATCGATTCATTAGGCAATGCTTTCAAGGAATCTATTTGCAGTGAAAATTTACCAATACGCCAACGTTAGCATGGTACTTCTAAAAACATATTCTACACCAGACTACATTGCTGGCATCTCACTGGGTCTAACAAGTTCTGATCAACGTTATGCGCTTCTCAGACAGCTGCCACCGCACGAGCGTGACGTGTTGCGACTTTGTTTTGCGTCACAACTATCCCACACTCTACCGGAAGCATTTCCTGAAGGGCAACAGCAATTTCTGGTGGTGCCAGAAAAACTGATGTTTCTCAGTGTTTTTGGACACTGTACTAATAAGATGCTTGTTATTAATCCAGGTTTGTATCCTTTCGCATATTTTGCTTCGGTCAGATGCTGCTGCGAAAGATTTCCGTTTTATTTCACGATCTCTTGGGGGTCTCCCGGCAATCTGAACAGGTCAAGCTGAAAGCCTTGGTTTGAACCACACTAATCGTAGTCGCCGATTTAGCGACGAATGATCTAAGGCTCGAACACGTCGGAATCTGTGTTTTGGTATCTCTTAGGAGGCTGAGAATTTCGTGTGAAAATATGAGATGACGCAAACTAACATTTAACTCGACGATAATAATTAGCATTGCTAGAGAGCATGGCGCGATGATTGCGCAGTTAGGCAACAAGGTAAAGGAGAGAATACGAAAAACCGAGGCTGGAACACATCAGGTGAGCCAGTGCGACCATGCGTTCTTGCACAAAACTGTTAACTGCATGAACTGTTGTTTCTTCACACCTACCTTGTGCGCTCAAGCCGTAAACCAACGTAAATTTTGCATAAAAGTAAACAATTTCTGTTTGGTGGTAATTTTTATGCGTTTTTATGCGTTTTTGCATATATGTAAATCGCAAAAACGCATATTGGGAAGAGGCTGTCTGTGTG